TGTTGATTTTTTAAATGGGTTTGATAAGTAGTTTGGTTTCTTGAGTTTTATGGATTTAATGATTTAGGGTAATTGATATCAAATTTTTTTGATCTGATGAAAGGAAAATGGTGAATTGATTTGATAAATTTTTGCAAATTAGGGATTTTGATTTGATAATAAATTTTGTAGACAGATTCATGGAAGAATCCATGGCGATGATGGTGTCGAGAATGTTGTCGGTGTGATAAGCGAGGTCTCTGACTTGGTGAACCCAGGTTTGGAGTTCTTAATCAGTGTCTTCAATTGCATTAGCAATTCTCAAGAAGGCACTCATGCTCTGAATCTCATCTCTGATGAACACAATTTCTGCCTGAACTCCACCCAATGATTTCAACACTTCTTTAACCAAGCTTGAAAGCTTTTTGAGCAAAATGGTCACTGTACTTTCTGCCATTGTTAATTGAGAGAGAGAGAGAGAGAGAGGAGTAGAGGAGAGAGAAGCTTCAAAGTGTTTGCCTACCCAAGTTGAGTCCAAAATATCTGCTGTTTGAAAGTGAAGAAACATTTCCAAAAGATTTGATTCAACAACTGTGTTAAAATTGATGTATAAAGAGAAATAGAGAATTGTATTATTGATTGATGTATGTTATTGTGTAAATACAAGAGAATGAGCCCTCTCTCTTTATAGAGAGGAGAGGGAGACAATTGGAATCGAAAATATACATTAAAATAATACAAAGGCGTCTGTCAAAGCTGAAGGTGGTAGTGGGTGAGCTCTTTACAGCTTACAAATGCCAGCCTACAAATGCACTATAGTGTATAGTATATTATATTGTTAACAGCCCCCCGCAAACTCAAGGAGGGTAGGAACTAACCAACTTGAGTTTGGAGAGAGTAACAAAACAGGAAAGTAAACTGATAAATAAAATAAAATAGGATAGGAGACACTGTATGGTCGTGTCGAACCGTTGTAGAAGACAGTTTATGGGGTCATGTCGGACCGTTGTAGAAGCTTGTGGTGGTGCACCAAGGGGGCGACTTAGGGAGTGCGCCATGAGCGACTTATACATGATACTGTGTATAACCCCCCCTCAAACTCAAATAGGTGTGAAGATAAAAACCTATTTGAGGTTGAAACAAAGGGATTGATAAAGCTGCAGAGGTTGTGTGGTCGTGTCAGACCGATGTAGCAGACAGTTTATGGGGTCATGTCGGACCGTTGTAGCAGAGGTTGTGTGGTCGTGTCAGACCGAATGTCGGGACAGTTTACGGGGTCATGTCGGACCGTTGTAGCAGACACTGTGTGGTCGTGTCAGACCGTTGTAGAAGACAGTTTATGGGGTCATGTTGGACCGTTGTAGCAGAGGTTGTGGTGGTGCACCAAGGGGGCGACTTAGGGAGTGCGCCATGAGCGACTTATACATGATATTGTGTATAACCCCCCCTCAAACTCAAATAGGTGTGAAGATAGAAACCTATTTGAGGTTGAAACAAAGGGATTGATAAAGCTGACTAGTGTAGAAGACACTGTATGAGTGTGTATATAGGCTGCCCAAAAGATATACATGGATGTAGATATCGAGCCCTCAAAAGTCGTGCCCTCAAAAGGTGTGCCCAATCTGTCAAAAGGCGTGCCATTAAAAGGCTTGCCCGATGCATCAAAAGGCGTGCCAGATATGATGGCGAGGCACGTGAGTGCCTTGGCTGGCGTGCCCGTTTGTCTGGCGTCAAGAGGCGCGCGATGCGCGTGGCTGCCTCGGCTATTTAACCAAGACGGAGCTTGAGGCCGAGGCAGAGGCAAAAAACCTGCGAAATCCTCTGAAAATATGATGGCGAGGCACGTGAGTGCCTTGGCTGGCGTGCCCGTTTGTCTGGCATCAAGAGGCGCGCGATGCGCGTGGCTGCCTCGGCTATTTAACCAAGACGGAGCTTGAGGCCGAGGCAGAGGCAAAAAACCTGCGAAATCCTCTGAAAAACTCTTCATTGTGCTGAGAGAGAGAGTCTGTAACACTCTGTGGCGAGAGATATTCTGTAACACTCTGTTGCCCAGAAAATGGCCTCTTCGTCCCGTGGTCTGCTTACTCTCTTTCCCGACCTCAACGAGTCCACAAGAGAGATAGCTGGTGCGGTGTCCCGTGAACCTCAACCAAACACCATTGGGTTTGCTCCGTTGAACTTTCCGATGCAGTCGGTGGAGCAAAAAATGGCAATGCAAACGGATGTGGAGGCTAATCAGTATACGTTGAAGTCATGTGTGGAAACCATGACGGCAGTCACAAACTTATCGAACCGGCTGCAGAGTAGGACAAATGAGGTGCAACAATTAAACTCCCAGCTGGCTCTGCTCCAACGCATGTATAAGGATGCGCGA